CCTTACCTTCCCGTTACTCAGAAAAGGTACGGGAATAGACTGCAAAAGTCCTAAAAAAGCCCCCAATCCCGCAAAATCCCTGACAGATCCTTCCAAGGATCTCCAACACTGTCGTATTCCCTGCCGAGCTTCCAGGCCTCACACCCCCCATCCTGCTGGGTTACAGGGCAACACAACTCACCCCAGCTCCGGCCTGTGTCGTCTCAGCAGCAACCCTTGGTTGTCCCGTGGGATGCCCCCCCAAAGCACCTCCATATCTCTCTATCAGGCCTCATGCCCCTGCATCAACAGGTTACAGGGCAACACCCCAGCACCGGCCAGCGTCGTTCTGGCGTCGAACAGCCTTAGGTCACCGAGTATTACAGCCTTGAAACTACCTAGAAGAGATTGCCAGGAAAACCCAGGATCCAGAAGACTTTTTAAGGACAGAACAGACTACCCCCTTTTTTTGAGAATTGGATTTAACTACGTAAAGATTCGTAATTTGAAAACATAAAAAAGGCCTGGCGGGTCCTAGAAATGCTCAGAAACCCTTGGAATCCCTAACGCTCCTTCCGAGGCCTTTCAACACTGTCCTACTCCCTGCCGAGCTCTTCGAGGTCTCACACCCCACATCCTGCTAGGTTACAGGGTGACACAACTCACCCCAGCTCCGACCAGCGTCGTCCCAGCAGCAACCCTTAGCTGTTCCGTAGGATGCCCACCCCTAAGCATCCCCAGATCTCTCTACCAGTCCTCATGCTCCTGCATCACAGGTCACAGAGTAACAACCCAGCTCCGGCCAGCGTCGTTCTGGCATCGAGCAGCCACAGGTCCCTGAGTATAACAGCATCAAAAACCACCTGAGAAAAGTTGTTAGGGATCCCGAGAGCCCAAAAGCATTCTTAAGACCCCCGAACAGCCATCTGTAAAAAGAAAAAAAGAAGGGGGGGGAGGTGAAAACTAAATACCAGCCATCCTGAAGTCCCTAAAGTCCCCCCCTCAACAAAGGAGCCGTCGGTCTCGACTTTCGGTCCTCGAACCAGAGCACACTTGGTCTCATACCCCCTTCTGCATGGGTAACAAGGCACCGCAACCTTCCCCAGTACCGACCAACCTAGTTCTGTCAGATAGGAAGTGCATTCCTACCTCGGCAATTCCCATAGCGACAAACCCCTACACAGGTTACAGGGTCAGAACCCCGGCGCCGCTTGTGTTGGACGATCTGGTTATGCCTTCCACCCTCGGCATAATTCCATGGGCCTCAAGCTCCCCCCTGGGTCACAAAGCCAAGCTCCAGCACCGGCCCATGTCATCCCAGCCTCGTCCTCCTGACCTACTCACCTTCCCCGACATCCATCCTCTGATTGAAGGTCACCTTTCCTCCTCCCATCCTCCCCTTTTTAATTCCCCCCTTCCTTCCTCGATCAAAATCAAAATTATCTGAGTTTATAGAACTTCTATAGGAATTTATTTGAAGAATCTTTTCAGAAATTTCTTGGAAGCTTTTATAGGAAAATATTTCGTTTATAGAACTTCTATAGGAATTTATTTGAAGAATCTTTTCAGAAATTTCTTAGAAGCTTTTATTGAAAATATTTCGTTTATAGAACTTCTATAGGAATTTATTTGAAGCATCTTTTCAGAAATTTCTTAGAAGCTTTTATAGGAAAATATTTTGAAAATATTTTTAGAAGCTTTTGTAGGAAAATATTTCGAGAAGCAGAAGTTTTTTTAAGCTTTTATTCGAAAAATATTTCGAGTTGTTGAATCAGAAGTTTCTTAGAAGCTTTTATAGGAAATTATTTCGAGAATATTTTTAAAAATTTTTATAGGAAAAAAATTCGAGAATCAGAAGTTTTTTGGGAAGCTTTTATAGGAATTCCAATACGAGGTTTGAAGTCTAAACCGAGCATGTCGATCATCAGGAAAATTTCAATTGATCAGCAGAAAGAAAGCGAATCGGGAAATCATAAACTGAGAAATTCAGAAGAGCACCCAATGAACAACAGAAAGAAATCGAATCAAGAAATCGTGAACTGAGATCTTCTGATTATCCCCCCTTATAGAATCAATCATTAGTATACGTGAATTAGGAAATCATGGTTATGAGCAGGGGGAAGCTGCCCTCCTTCCTTTCTTGCAGTCGTGTGACTTCGTAAAAATCCCGTAAGAAGAAAAAACCCTCTGTCTCCCCTTCATCCACCCTCACTCAAACCCAACCGCTTCACCTTCGGGAAAGAAGAAAAAAACTCCCTCCATCTACCTGCCCTACCGGCCTCAAGGGCCTACCATAACACCAACACAGGCAAACGAAGGTACCAATCGGCCATCCCCCTAAACTTCTCCAACATCGGGATGGTGGGGCAACATCTCGTTGAGCCTGCCAACAGCTACCCCAGGGAGTTCAAGCTTACCGCCGAGACTTGAGTCCACCGCTTCGCAGGGCAGATGAAAGTAGACAAAGGAGACCATGTGGGTTTGCCAAACCCTTCAACCTCATTTTTTTTCCCCTATGACAAAAAAAAAAAAAAAAAAAAAGATGGCAAAGAAGAAAAATTTTAAACAAATAATTAAATAAATATATATATATATATATATATATTTCGATTTCTGGTTCGTGGCTTTTCGTCTTCCACGATTCGTCGTGTAATTTTTTATTTTCTTCTGGCGTGTCAATCATGCAAAAAAAGAAAGAATGGCAAAAAATGGTCCGTTTCTCCAAGGCCTGGGCTGGGTATCGGTGGCACTCTTGCGGCAGTGGTAGGAAACCAAAAACACATTTCGTGTTGATGTTTCAGATAAAGGTGTTGATTTATCTGAACAGCAACACAAGCTCTATTGCTGTTACCGTCAATAGAGAGAGAGAGAGAGAGAGAGAGAGAGAGAGAGAGAGAGAGAGAGAGAGAGAGAGAGAGAATGCAACTTTTTACCCGGATGAACAAGATGCATGTGAACACACACACAGACGGGTGTGTGGGCACTTGGCGCTGAACCACACAAACGTGGCTAACCTTGCATTTTGTATTATATTAGTTAAGTTATCTATACCTTTTTGTTATGGATGGATGTTTTGTCTGATGTGGACGAATGAGAGAGAGAATTTGGGGTGCCTTAACAACACACAGGCACAGTTTACCCCCTTGCTGGCAACCCCCGAAACATCTGCACAGTGCAAAAGCACTACATTGCACTCAACACTTTTCCCCTCCCCCCCCCTC